AAAAAAAAAACAGTTCCAATTTTATTTAAATTCTAAAATCATCTGCCAAGAACCAAAAAAAAAAAAATAATAAAAAAAAAAATCATATGCCCAAGACAGGCCACTTCAATGGCACCAGCATTGGATAAAAGCATCCCCTCATATTAGGATCTGACCCCAATTACAGAAAAAGTTAGGTCAGCAAAGTATGGGGTCTTTGAAGCAGCTCCACCGTTGTGCATACATAGTACATACTATGTTGGTCGGTACTGTATAGTAAGAAGGTACTAAGAACCCCATAAGTCTGCAGACTCTTCACACTCACTGTTGATGTTGAAGTTGATGTTGCTGCTGCTGCTGCTGCTGTCGGTGCCATGCAACAACATCTGTGTATGGCAGCTGACCACCAAAGATGTCTAATGCGCTCCCGACCGTTATATCTACTGTGCCATCGCCAGCCTCTTTGACGCGTTCTAGATCAGAGAGTGTTCGTGCGCCGCCAGCATAGGTCACGGGGATCTGCAGCTCGACAGACAAAAAGAGAAAGAAAAAAAAAAAGAACGAAGAAGAAGAAGAAGAAGAAGAAGAAGAAGGAAGAAGAAGGAAGAAGAAGGAAGAGGAAGGAAGAAAGAAGAAACATCAACCACCACCAGGACAACAACAACATAAGATAATCAAACAGAACAAAAATAAAAGGGCCCAAGGAGATTTTTGGGACGCTTTTTCCCTCCCCGGTCTATCCAAGGCTCCAAGCCTACTAATCCCCCCCTTCAGGGTTGAGCGTATTCCCTCAGGGCTGAACCTAAACCCTAGCGCGGATGGAAGGGGACACAGCTTACCCCTACCAAGACCCATTAAGGGGGGGGGAGGCCGACTATCTCAGGTGGTGACCCCGAAGTGCTCCACAGGGGCCGTGGGGAGTCGAATGGATGACGTGCGGAATCAAAACCACGACCCCCTGAATACCACTTACCTGCTCAAACAAACTGAGCTAGGCTGACAGGTACCTAGATATGAACGTAGCCAGTTCCTGAGAGATAGGAAGGTAGCTAGTATGAGGCCGATATGGGTAAAGTTAATGAGAGGTAGATAGGTGTGAGACAGAAAAAAAAAAAAAAAAAAAAAAAAAAAAAAAAAAAAAAAAAAAAAAAAAAAAAAAAAAA